ATCAATCGGGAAGATTATTATATTTGTTTAGGGTGTTTTCAAGTAGCTTACTCAATAAATACTTCCTTTTTTTTTTTTTTTTATTCATAACCAAATGTTTAGCATAAGCAATAAAGAAATAATTTGTCTGCGATAGTAGATCTAGTGTTTGAACAATTTTTTTTTTTTATGAAAATTTTTAGCCAATTAGAACGTTTAATAACGATAAGAACTCCGGATCGGCTAAACTATCTTCCATTACTTAAAATTTTCTCTATGACATATAAAATTTATTATCTGTTATACGTAGTATGGATGCTAGTGACGTAACTACCTTAATATCAATTTCAGAAAATGTGATGATGCGTCAAAAAGCTATAACTAACATTTGCCATAACGTTGACGTGTGCCGTAGCATTCGACTTTTCCATGTACATAGATACAGACTTATACTAGTGTTTCGTAACTGATAACTTAAAAATATGATGATAGTCAAAAAAAGCTATTACTAACGTTTGCCATAACATTTGACGTGAACCGTAATATTTGACTTGTCCCGACTTGTTCCGTGATACTAATGTGCGTTATGACATTTTAATGTATCACTTCATTATTTATATTTTAATTAAATGACAATATTAGGAATCGGTATAATTGAAACGAAATATCATTATGGAGTGGATTTATTACTGTTTAAATAATTTATATTTTTAAATTTCCTACAGTATATTAAACAAGTTTAATACAACTTTTTATATTTACGTAATCATATTTATTAACGATTAATACGTATCACTTTTTATATTGACGTAACTTACATAAATTATCAGGAATATTGTCACAAATTATTAATTTGTGACATTGGAGGTTCCGATTTCTCTTTTCTTATTTCCTTGTAAATAGTTAACAATTTTCTTTATTTAATATCTAAATTTATTTCCCATTTATTATCGACAAGCAAATTATAAGCAGAATCTATCATTAATTTAAGGGATCAACTAACACGTAATACGTGTTAGCACGATTACGCACTAGAGGGACTAAAATTAATATACATTTTGGGAATGTGGGTTAACACGTTAACGTACGTAAACATGTTAATTAACACGCTAACGTGTTAGGTAACACGTAAACATGGAGTACAATTGACTCGAATGTATAAATATCTCTGACAAATGATTAATAAAGAAAAAGACTTCGATACCAGAAATATTAAATTATCAAAAAGAATTCAGACCCCCTTATTATAAATAAAATAATGATTTACCTTTCTTTGAATTCCAAATATTATTGATACCCGATTTCAATATGAGACTCTGTTACATTCATCCCAAGTTGTGACTGGAGCTAAATCGTACATTCTTTGTTCGCTGCTCTCCCCACCAGTTCGTGACAATATGAAAGTCAATTTGTTTAGAATTTACATAATCTAAATAATGTATAGTATTTAATTTTAAGCATCAAAAAACAAATATAAATTTAAATGAAAAATATGCATCCTTGATTCTAATTGATATTTTTAATGTGCTAATCCTTTTGCTAGTTACATAAAGTCAGGATGTTTTGGTGTAATTATTGGTAATGTTCTGGTAATTTCATCACCATTCTAATTTTGATTGTTACATAATATTTCTTCGCGTAGCACTATTAAAATTTAGTTTTAATAAAAAATTGGTTAAATTTTTTTTTCATAATTTTTTTTTTTTTTATTATACAAAGAAAATTAATATTATTTATTACTGCTAGTGATCATTATACAACATATAGATTAAAATCAAAACAATAAACAAAAAAATGCTATTAAATATTTATGATCTATATTATATTCTCAACTCAATCGATGAGGATGACTAAAAATAATGCAAATAAAATAAATTGTCGCGGATGATAGATGATGCTGAAATTTAGTCCCAATTAAATCCATAATACTTACTAAAATACACATATTAAACAAGTTTAATACAACTTTTTATATTTACGTAATCATATTTATTAACGAT